GGGGGGGGGGAATGAAGCGCAACGGAGGAGGGTGAGAGGTGGATGTTTATTCCATGACGATCCCAACCCATTTTAAGAAGGTGGTGATAATCTAGTTCTGAGCATGGTCTCATCGATAGTCACAGTAAAGGCCAGCTATGCGGGTTATTGTGGTTGTCGTAGAACTATTTCGGAAGTGCCAAATAAACAATTGCAATTGACAGACACCAAGTATGATCTGCCATGTGCGCTCAGGAACGCGGACATGTCAAAGGAAGCTCACAGTTGACGGATGACATCTTTTCAACTTCCTTGGATATGTGATTAGTACCTCTCATCTACGTTGTCACTGCACTAACTACTGCAAGTCATGCTGAGCCCTCTCTCCCTCTCTCCCTCTCTCTTTTTTTTTTTTTTTTTTCTGTTTTTCTCAATTGGTACAACTTCCACCTCGGTCGCCTGTTCCATTTCTGAAGGCAGTCAGAACTTCTTCTATGAGCGCCTGAAGGGTAATCTGAGTTCGATCACTCATGCATCCCCCACGGACCCATAAAGCTCCTCATTGATAATTTCTCCCCCAGTGCTGTGGACACGTGCGCGCAACATGTCGGTCGGTGTTTTTGTCGTACGAAGCTTCGATTTCGAAAGCATGATCTGAAGGTCCCGGGGAGAGAAATCAGCACTGGAGAAACCGTGACACCATTTAAAACTTGATCCATGCGATCGTGGTGACGGGGCTGGCCTTGGGGCTCAGCTTGCAGTTCATCTCACCTGTCATGGAACACCTGTCGAGGATGCATGATCCGTCGCGCGAACCCGCCTCATTCGGACAAGCGCCCTGTCTGGACTTCCCCGTCTCTTCTAGACGAGTGATTGCTCTGCTAGCGGAAGATCTTACCAAACCGATGGGACCGTGGAGCAGAGGAAGCCTGAGGGCGGATCTTGCCTATCGATCGATCGCTCCAACTATCGGTCTTTCTTTGAAAGTGGGGTGGGGTCCCAAATCCCTGTGAACTCCCCATGTCGTCGGGTGACTGACTTATCCATCCTGACTGGTGAGCGCAAGATGATGAGACTGGCTGGGACTACAAGGATATTTGCACAGGCTGACGTTCAGTCGCATCGCAGCCGATGGCAAGACATCTTGGCTCTCTCCTTGCGAGCTGAGTCCGGCACCAAAGCTCATATGAGTCTATTTCATCTTCCTCCTGTAGGTTAAGGACCACCGTGACTGAATCCATCCTTCACCAAGGTCTTCATCTCTCCGCACCAATCTGATTAATAGACTTGCGGGCGTGTGTGTGTCTACGTGCGTGTGCAGCTCAGTTCTCCACGCTTTGAAATTCCACTTCTCGAGGTTTCACCTCCTCCCCAGGTCCGCTTGCCGATTCGGTGATGACGGACCGAGTACAGGCATCTGCCGCCCGAGCGTTTGGTGTATCCTGACCACGTCCCGAGCTGTCAGGCCCAAGACCCCTGCAGTGCGACCGTCGTGAGAGGTATCCGGCGGTGACCGCAGTGACGAAGTCGGAGGTGGCGGACGAAGCATCTGTGCATTAGGGGTGGCTGGGAAAATGGGAGAATTGAGGAATATGACCCTTCAGATGCACCAGGGTCGCCGCAGTCGGATCTCGATCGCCCGGGGACTAGGTCAAGGGGCAACTTCGGAAGCCACAAGGAAATCACAACCGTGAATCTTTCTCCTGCCTGTTGTCAGAAGTGATCTTCATCCAATCGTTGCGACACTCTGCTGTCGCTTCTGCGGGAAGTGTCTTGGTTTCTGTATGACTTTCACTGACTATAGGGAATCGATGAAGATGACCACCCAATAGCTTCCGTTTGCCATTCTACCCCTTCAAGTAGATGAGATTACGAGTTCCCTATCTAGGGGAAGCCCCAACAGATAATTGAGACGACGAATATGACACAAGAACACCGCCACTGGACGAGTGCTTGTCTGCCAGACGAGGGAATTATCAGACATGAGACAGGTCTGTCACTGGTCTGTCACTCTCACAACCAGCTCCACCTTAGCCAGGGCTGAGGCTATCTGTACTGGCGTGCAGCAGCAGCCCTTCAGTAGGCAAGTCCGGAGAAGGCGAGAAATAGACCGGGAAAATGGGGAGGGGCGGGG